TCGGTTCTAAGAGTCGATTAATTTAGACTAGAAGATGATTAATCAACTAACCCGTTTAGAATTAACAACATCAAACATGAATTCATCAAATTCAATTGAAACACTTGCAAGTTGAAGTGTCACCCTTCAACAATTCTCAAAATTCAAAATAATGAATGAAAAACCCTAATTCAAGATTAAGTCGCATAAGATGAACAATCAACGAACACCAACAACCACAAACGAAATCAAAACATCAATCCCCTATCCCTAGCACAAGGATTTAGCCGCTCATAGTCGAATAATCAACAAAACCATTCATCACAATCCAAGAATTCATAATTAACGATAAAGTTAAAAGAAAATCTTACGAATGATAATTCTCAAGGTTGAATCCGATAAACAAACTTGAAATCCGAAAGCAATACCAAAATCCAATCTCAAAATCCTTGTTCTACGATTAAAATACGAAAGAAAGATGAAAACGAGTGTTTCGAATGATAGGTAGGGTTATGAAGTTTTCTGACGAGAAAAGGATTATTCCCCCCCCCCCCCAATGCCTCTGCTAAGTCCCGTCTCACACGGCGCGAGGCAGAGGGGTGGCGCGGTGCGAGAGGAGTAACACGGCGCGACAAGATGGAACTCCGCGGCGTGGGGAGGTCTTCGCGGCGCGGCAGGAGTGATTATCACGGCGCGGAGGCGCGGACACGGCGTGGCGGAGTACGTGTGCAGCGGCGTGAAGAGTCTTGCGACGTGGAGCTTGACAATGAGTCTCTGAAGGCCCGAGAAGCCCTCCGCGAGGTTCATCACGGCGCGAAGGAAAGGTGTGGCCGCTGGACACAAAAGTATCGGTAGTTTGTGAAGCTGGAACATGTGCTTGTATATCTGGGACAACTCGGCAAGAAAAGCTCCAAATTCCAAATATGTGCTCAACGATTCAAACCTGCACACCTCCAAGAACAAGAAAACACACGAAAAAGAAGAAAATAACAGAAAATACAAAAACAAAGAAATAACGGCAAACGCACGAAACAAACTGCGGAGGACCGAAAATCCTATCAAAAGACCTAAAACGGGGGCAAAAAATCAATAAACTACCAAAGAAAAAGATAACAAAAATGGGACCAACAATTGGCACAACACATCAGATTAACAAATTCATCAGGACAATTTAGAGTTTGGAATTTATGCAGTGGACAAATTGATTAACAAATTGACTCAGCAGTTTTGATGTCTTTCTATGTTGGACTTGTGAAATTTTTGGTCATAATGAATTGAAGTGTTCGTGTGTTGATTTGTGTTCAGAAAAAGCTATATGTTTGTGTATTGGGGATGAGCCGAGACACAAGCGGTTCCTCCCGCCGGACAATGGCGGACGAGCATTGACGAATCTTGTTTGTGGTTCACCAATCACCAAGCAACATTAACGAGCGATTAATGGGAAGGACCATCGGAGGTCGCCATCGGATGTCTCAGTTTTGTGGCTCGTCGAATGGAGCTGACGACCTACGATGATATTTTTATTTTGTTGATGAAAATTATTTTCACGTTGTTCTGATTGCTATAATGGTATTTTTTTGTACATACATTACACTAATATATTTGTTATAAAACTTAATTTCGTGATACTTTTTTGTTAATTGAAAGTTGATTTCATGATGCTTTACTGTTAGTTGAAAGTTGATTTCATGTTACTTTACGAATTTTACAAATTGTACATTATTTGATATCTAAAATGAAAGAGAGGCTCGCGTATCGAGCGGCATCGTCTGCGGCTACGCCTCGAGGGGTTGGACGAGGTATATTGGTCTGGCGTAGGCGATGCCGATCTCCATCTTCTGTCTTCGGCTGTTGCCTCGGCCTTTCGGGATATGGTTTAAATTCCATTTGAAATCTTGACCCAATATATTTGTCCTGACAGATTGTTGATATTATATGTTTATAAATTCATCATTTGAGAATTGACTATTGAGTATCTATTGAGGATTTGTGAATTCACTTGAAGTTGAAGAGAAATTTTGGTGAGACTAGGATTTGTGTAATGAAAATTAGTGATGTAATGCGTGAAGTATTTTGTTGACGAAAAGTGGTTTTGATATTGTTCAATTGTTGTAATGGTGTTTTTTTTTTTTATATAGTTGTGAAATTCTCAAACTCATATAGTTGTTATAAAACTTAAGTCAATATTATATTGTTGACAGAAATTGTTTTGATGTTGTTTGACAGATTTTATATCGTTTTTTGTTGTTAAGGCACCTACTATCTTATTTGTTGTTTTCTGTAAACAACATTATTAATTTTTTAAGTTAAAATAGCAAACTTTTGTGTTACTTCTTGGTTAATTGATGTATGTAATCTATTTATCAACAAATAATCAGACGAGATTACAATTGAATTTATGAATGGAAAAATGGTCATCATCGTTAAAACCAATACTAAATTAAAAATTATAAATAGTTATTTATGCAAACTATCAAGTTATTCAATCTCTATAAAGAATCTTGATACAATTCTTTTTTTTTTTCGTGAAATGAATAAATCAGCATTTTAAACAAATAAATAAAATATAAAATAACAATTATTATTTTTCTCTTTGGTTGATGACATTGAATAGTGGTACCACATATCCCATAATTAATAATATTATTGTTACATTTAGTTTTTTTTTTTTTTATTGCAAACACTAATTGTATAATTTTTAGAATCAAATCTTTGTGAAAAGTAAATTATGGACGCCATAGAATTTGTGGAGAGAAAGAGGCTGAGAGCTTGAGGAAGTTAATTATTGTATATGTTGTAATTAGGGAGAATGCTACCATCCCGTTACGGGATGGTTCCGTTGTGTTTTCTAGCCATAGATATACATGTAATCTAGTGATGGGTAGTTAATCCAACGCTTAAAAATACAACGGAACCATCCCGTAACGGGATGGTAGCATTCTCCTGTAATTATTAGATGTTTAGTTTGTTAATACAATGGGTGGTTAATGGAGAGAGAAAGAGGGTGAAAACTTGGGGAAGTTAATTATTGTGGATTCTGTTGCATATACATCACGAGTATATTATGAAATTAATTGGGGTAGTTTTGGAATTCCCTGCACCTAGTGCTTAAGAATTCAAATTCAATGAAGGGGTAGTTATGAATTTTCGCCTATATTTTGCAAGTCACAAATAATGTATAGCATCTTGGTGAATATTTTATTTTTCAAATGAAAGAAAAATTATATAATAATGACGCTGAGAATGATGTAAAAATCTTTCTAATCCACATGAATAGTTTTCTTTTATTCTCATTATCTTAAATTACTACTAATACTATAATAAAATTTAATATAAAACTTAATTAGAATTGTCTTTAAAAGAATTACCTGAATAATATAGTTAATTAGATACAATAATATTAATAACTATTTATTAAAGTCTAAATATTTTCTAGAATATTAGTCAAAATTGAAGTTAAATTCAATCTATAATTTATATTTATTTATTAAAATATTTGTCTAAGTATTTTCTAGAATATTAATCAAAATTGAAGTTAACTTCAATCTTAAGGCGTAAAATATGAATATCAAATACGGGCAACAATGATGTATATATGTAGAAGATATATTGGATAAAACAACTTATAATACTTACAATATTTACAATATATATTAGAAATATTAAAATTATATCATATTTTATTATTATTTTTTGTTAATAATTTTTTTTTTTAATAAAATTATTTTGAAATTATATCATAATGCTACACAAATCAACACTTTCTTGATTCGAGAGAAGGATTACACTTCTTTCCTAGAGGGAAGAAGAAACTGCAATCGAAGACGATTACACCTATACAAACTTAGACAGAAATAGAATTAGAATTTTTTTTTGAAGAAGAAACTTGTTAGAGAGAGAGATAGAATTTTGTTCATATTTTTGTTGTTAGCCTCCATCTATTTATATATACCTATACAAAATACTAATTCATTAATCTACCTATACAAAATACTAATTCATTAATCTACTAAATATGATGATAAAAGGCCAAAACAAGTCATTTACTACATTTCAATACTTCTCATATTCACATACCTGAATTTTTTTTTATGTAAATTGTTAACACACCGAGTTGCCAATTTTTTTTCATATGCTGACCAACAATTTGTTAACACACCGAGTTTACAAAGTCTTCATATTTTTATGTTGTTTAAAATTTTTTTCATGTCTTCATATATTTATTTTGTTTAAAAAAAAAAAAAATCATGTTGTTAATAGAATGATAATAATATAAGATCAAGCATTCAAAGTTTTACAAAGTCGTTCATATTTTTAGTTGCAGAAAACAATCCTATTTAAAAAAAAAATCCTTAAAACATGCTCTGCTCTTGTCACATTTTGCCGTTGTTTGTGGAAACACGGCTATTTTTCCCCTCATTCAGACTCTACTCTCTTGAGTTTTGAGAGTGAACACAATTAAAGAAAGTTTTTCTGAAGGTTGTTAACAAGCTGCCATGCCTAATTCACCTATCATCAAAAGCCTTGGCTGTAAAGTGCATAAAACTATGAATTGGATCAACTACAAGACATTGCAGGCATTTGATTGTGATTATGTAATGAATTGTACAGTAAATTGATTACAGTATATATTCAAGGATGTTATTTAACTCCATTGGTTGATTATAAAAGAGGTTCATTTGATACATGGTGCAACTATTTGCTCTTCCTATTTTACCACTGCTGTAAAATTTCACATTTTTCTCAATTTGCCGCCATTTTTCCATCCCATGGTCACAAAAATCACAAACAACCGATAAAAAATTCAAACACATTTGGATATGCTACGACGGCTTCATAATTTCTCAGTACAAGATCGGTGGGCAGAAAAAACATATTTGTTCGACCATTACAATCAGCATGTGGTTTTCCGACATAAAAAAGTATCAGCAGAATATAGAAAATGGATTTAGAACAATACGATACATCATCAGACGTGCAAAATTTTTCAGCGGAGAAAAATACCTATCATAATCAGCAAATTATTCCTCCTCATCTGAGTCCGACTTGGCAAAAACTGGTTCCGGCTGTGTTTGTGCATATGCTGGGGCAATAAATTTAGGATCTTTAGCAGCAACATCAGCATATTTCAGAATAGCTTCTCTTGGGTCTTCCTCCATCCATGTTTCCTTAATCATGCCCCCTTGCTGAAAATGAATACCAAAATGTAAAAAACAAATAATTCATTTATTTCTCTTTTTCTCGCCTCAATTTTCCCGACAAAATTTTATAAATTTAAAATCAATCAGTACTACACGTTAATTATAAAATTTACTATTCATATACTCGTATATTTATAATTATCCATCATTATTTTACAAACTTTATTACATAAATTTACATTATTAAGAACATTAATTCTTCCATCAAATGAAAAATGAAGGAAAAAAAAAAAAAAAATCACCTATGAAAGTATATCCAATTGAACCCTAGTATTTCAGCTATTTTTTTTACCTCATTTCTATCTTCAAACTATGGTTACATTTGTAAAAAAATTCTCTTCAAGAAAATTCTACAAAATTTATCACCGGCAAGTAAGAGATGTTACCTTGAGAAGGTACTGAGTGAGCAGACTTCCCTTGGTCGAGCCAACTCTTCCACCATGACCCGGCCCAGTTATAGGTAGCTCTGGCTTGTGGGACTTCAATGGGTCCTTCAGTATCTTCTCACGCTGGCGTTTACGGCTCGGCTGATCTCTAAACATCGGCAGTGCATGAGGGTTGTGAATAACAGGTTGTGCCTGAAAATCATCAACCGATTGCTTTCTCGGTGCACGAGCAACACACACAAGTGCACCTCTCTCACTGATGGTCGGATCGTATAGTATGTGAGTCCCTCCTTCGTGTCTGTCCCCAACTGTAGCAAATATCTATGGAGGAGTAGAAAATTAGAATAGTTACCATTCCAAGGATGTAATTGCATAGACAAATGCATTCAGAAAAGCATCATGAAAAGGAAAATGAGATAATTACACAAGCTACCCCTAAAGTTAACGTACTTGAGAAAATCTAACTTAAACAATTACAAAAACCTGCCTCCGATGTTACATCAGTCTTACATTTTGCACAGGTCTTTAGTTGAATGGCAGATGCTCCACGTCATCCTATATTCTAATGTGTCAGCCTTCATTTTTCAGAACGTTACAAATAGCTCCAACAACTTTCCTCTGGCAATTTGTAATATTTACAGAATTTAGAGGATTCAAATTAAATTGGCTGAGAAAATTTTGGCTTATTTGCAATATTAAGAAAAGATGTGAAGGATGCAGCCGAAAAATTATTTGATGGGGTCATCAACTTCAATTAACACCACTAACAGCGGGTGCAAAACATAACAAATGAACGTAGCCTCAAGGGTTTCTATAGCTAGAGCTTGAAACATTTTGGCAATTTCGCTAAGCCTCCTATCATATAAAACAGAAATTACAATTACATAAGTAGTCCTTTGATACCCATATTGTTGGAAAAGGAGAACAGGGGAGAACAAGAAAAGGGCTTCAAATTTGAAAAGTTACAAGATATGATGATACATAGCTTCAGACAATGTACATTTGCCAAGTGAAATTACCTGATTTAGCCTTGGATGCCAGGCACATTGAACTACACTAAATGTGGGAGATATTCCAACTCTTGACACCATTTCCATCTTCACTCTATCATATATACATAGCAGACCCCCTGTCGTGCTATCCTTCTCAACTGAGGTCCCAGTCAAGAAGAGTTGTTCATCTGGACTGAATGCCACATTCGTCTGAGCATAATTATTTGGAAGATCATCAAATATATGGGCAGCCTCCTTCATTTTACGCAGATCCCACACCTGGTACACATGGAAAGCAAGAAACAGCGTTAAAACAATCAGGCTTCTTTGAGATCCCAATTTATATTTTCTAAAAAAAATAAAAAATTAAATAGAGAAAGGTAGGTTTCCAGGGTATGTTGCAATAATACCTTAAGTGTCCCATCAAAGCTTCTTGACAGCAGTGTTAGTCCATCACTGGAAAATTTAAGCCCGGTAATATCGTCTGAGTGGCTACTTACAACGTGAATATCAGGCCTGCTAACCCATCCAGCCTTGATGTTCCATATCTGTATAGAGCCATCACCTATACCGCCGGCAATTCGTTTTCCTTCACGATCCCAAGTGCATGTGGTTACTGGAACTCTTCCCGGCCTCGAAAGTTTGGGTTTAATAACCTATCAAGAGATCAACAAACAAGATAGATGAAATTCATAAGTAGTAAAAGAAAAAATAGAACGAAGTTGTAAAGATATTCACATAAATCATAGCTCGTGGCTTCCTCACAAACCAACAAAAGCGAAATGTTACTAGATGATAAGAAATCATGTTTGTGTTTGTTTTTGTCTCACATTATTATGTTACTGGGCTGTTGCTGTTCATATATGTGGATTAAGCTTCTCATATCTTTTATAACTCATATGCAGTGGTGAATCATGTTTTCATCTAAGTCCATGCATGTTAAAGTGGCGTTGACATTTTCACTAATTTCTTCCTTGAGTTCCATATATAAGTGATACAGATCGGAAGTACCAATTTCACACGCAAACAGCAGGCGCCAAAGCTAACCACATATTCATATTTTGCTTTCCTGATGGTTTTAAGAACTTCCAAATATTGAAACACTTACCTGCTTTTGACCTTTGAAGTCGTTTACATCCCATATCCTTAGCGAACCATCTTCGGACGATGTTAAGATAGTCTCCTTTGCTTTAGGGTGCCATTCTCCACAAGTCAATCCAGATATGTGGCCTTTTGTGTTTTTAAGATCCCTAATATACATGTCCCCCTTGACAAACTCACCTAACGTAAGTCCATCACGGTCATAAATCTGCAGTAAAACAGTAAATATATCAATTGAACGCCAACATGCTAAAGACTAAGCAAAGAATCAAAAACTATATGGGCGTTGTAGAATCACCTTAGCCTGTGCTGAACCAGTTACACACAAAAATCGATCTGCAGTAGGACTCCAACTCAAGCCACGAATTTGATGACCTTCAAATGGTTCAAGTTGTCTGAATGACTGAAGACGAGCATTCATGCCCTGAAAATCATACATGCGAACCGTATAGTCATAGCTGCCAGATAATACTCGAGATCCACTGTGATCCACTGCAAGGGCTGAAACCACCTGTCAAGAAGGAAAATCAAGACGACGGTTATGACCCAAATTAA